TCTCTTTTGAGTCTGGAAGATACTTTTAAACATTGATATGATGGCACTTTCGCAAGTCAAATGGTTTACCTAGTTAATCTACTCACGATATGGATTGTTTTCGCTCATTACAATATTGCCACAAAAGATGACTTCTCATCTTTATAAACAAATGTGGTATTGTAACACAAAGCGATCAAAACAGAGAAATCGCTCACAGTGAGAAGAGCGACTGCAAAAGATCTGCAAAAGTTTCTGACCACTTCTTAACGCAAACAGAACTGTGTGAGCGTCTCAAAAATAACTATTTTCACGGGCACATCACATACTTTTATTCAATATTGATCCAGAACAATGTAATCTACTCCACCAGGTAGATCAGCCCGGCCATCGATTGGAGCTCGGAATGCAACATGTCAGCGCTCATAGGTTTTCTAGGCTCAGAAGAGACATTGTTTACGGAATGCAAAAGCTAATCTCTCACTAGACACAAACTTCATCTCACGCCTGTGTAGCAAGTCTCTTACCACTATGTCATGGCGCTGCTGGCAGTGTGTCCGCTTAGCGAGTATACATGCGCGGCGATCGCGCTTGATTGTGTGACCCCATCTTCAATGAAACCTTCATAACTCCGTTCAGCGTGCAGTAGTGCAAATTTCGAAGGCAGATTTGAAATTACCATCCAAAAACACGTCTCGTGGTCTGCGTCTCACTACAAGTGGCCACTTCGACTGGGGACCATCCTTGGTGCGCGACAATTCGTATAATTCTTAATGTAAAATTTTTGCCCTTTCCATTTTCTACTACCCCAGTCTTCCGGAATCACAACAGTTTTTACCTTTTTGTCTACGAAGGCAGACTTGGCTGAAAACTTGTTTCCGAGGTTAGTTCAACCTTCCGAATATGAATATCACATCCGCTTGGCCTGGAACTGCCTGGCGCCCGCACCACGAGCGCCGGCTGCAAAATGCTTTAAATCGCCAAACTCACGGAGAACTTGTATACTGGGATTATTTGACCCGCATGATGAATATGATACTCATTCCTGGCAGACATTAATGGAGGACCCTACGGCCATCTGTGCTCTGTTTGTGCTGATATTGGCGTGAAGGAACCACTCTGCTCTCAAACCCAGCCTTAGCAAAGCGCTAGCACTGGTCTCGGAAAATGAATACCGCGTTCGTGATTAGAGCATCAAACTACCCAACTATGCAAGTTTTATTGTTTTTAGCGGGAAAGGGTGTGACGTCAGCCGGCGCCAGGACTGAGAATTGATGTCATGTTCGTGGTATGCAAGTTTACACCGACTTTGGTGAGAGCATTGGTGGCGCCATTTGCGCCAAGTGGCGTCAAATGTCGCCAGCCTCAGAAAGGAGTGTCATACTCGCGATAACGGCACCGAATAAACCGCATAGAAAAGTTTCAGCAAGCTTTTTTTCGTGTTTCTAGGGTAATAATGGTCGAATAGTACCAGAATTTTTATCGCTTCTGTGTGCTCTGTCATTTTCTTTTTTATTCGTGGGTTAATAGCAGGAAATGGCTTATTTTAGTGAGGCCGTTATTCCTGTACCTAATACCTTTGAATGAAACGAAGGCAAAATTGTCATCTACTCAAGCAAAGAAACGAAGGACGATGGATTCAGCCATGCACACCGCTTTGCAATCTCGATTGGCTGGTCTAGGTGCCGATTGAATCTGTGTGGTACGTCTCATAATCTTAACAAAGCATTGCTTCCTTGCAAAGTTTTTTTTTCAGATATAATTTACGCGTTGTCTACGTGATGCCTAATCTAGTGTTAGGGGACTTATGTTCTCTGTCTAAACGTTGAGTTACCCAAACGCAATTGTTGATTTATTCGATTTAATATCGGGAATGGATTTTAGTTGTGTTGTTCACATCGGTTGTGTATTTTCGGTGTTTAGGTGTTCTATAGAATCAGCTTCGGTCTTGATATGCATTTTATTATTTCATAATCCTGTAAAATATCCTACGAGTTTTAGTGCTTGCAGTGTTTTATGCAAATTTTAGCACGATTGGTATCATCATTTTGCTGCTGATGATTTCCAGAGCATTATATTTTACTTACAAGGCTGTGTTATGGTCCAGTACCAACGACATCGTATTTCTCATTACTTTCTTCGGCAAATTGATCAGTATTTGAGCTTAACATTGGCATCGTCTTGTCTTTGGCTTCCATGTACCGTAGCCTTCACGAAGTCTTATCAGAACCTTCTCATTACTGTTAATAATAAATAATAATAAGCTATAATAAACTTGTATGAACATAGATGTTCCTTCTTGTAATAGTTAACAGACAGTATACCTGAAAGGTTTCCGTAAGACTATTGAATAAAAATGGCTTTCCAGAAGTTTATGGAAGAATTCGTTAGGAAACGAGACTTAGAGGGTCTGAAGAACTACTTCACGATTTGTCGAGAAACTACTGGGTGAGAGCAACAGAAAAACGAAGAGCATGGGAATTCGCCCTTTCCACAATTACTGGGCAGCAGAGTGTTGAATTTTTCTTTAGAATTGAGGAAAGATGGATTCCGCTGTTTCACTAGAATCTTGTTCGCTGCAGATGATGGGGCGTGTCAGGGAGATGAGTTGGCACGGCGTCAAATCCGCTTTCTATCAGTTATTGAAAGAGCAAGCGACAAGTCTGTGCGATATCGTTCGTATCAGTCGTTTTTCAACAGTTCTCGCATGCCCACCTCATCAACTCGTGGAGAACGGATTTGGCACCGTACCAAACACAGCTTTATTGACACGCCCCATAATTCGCTCCGAGCAAGACTATTTCTGATTCATCGCATCCTGTAAAGAAGTGGATTCAGTCAGAGAGTCAAATCTCTTAGGTTCTTCTATTACATGGTAAATCTGAAATATTCCAGTGATGAAGATCTGTCATCACTTCTGGAAGTTCGATTGAGGGAGAGGGGACTGGATATCGCAAGGGGTCCGGACGAAACTATTGAAGAAAATGTGCGGCGACACTTGGAATTTGCACTGAACGTGTGCAAGAGTGGTAAGGGACGAAACTCGCGCTTGTTGCCGACCGACTTTTAGTGAATGGTTGGGTGAAGCAGCGGCATTATTTATAGGTCTTTGCGTCAAACAGACAGCTGTACAAACTCTTCAAGATATGTTTGAAGTTAGTGGAATAGGACGTTGTGAACGATTGTTCGGTATTCTTGAGGAGAACATGGTTCAGTTCAAGCAGGTCCTGATTTTTATGATTTATTTACTAGCTCTTATGCTTTGCTTAGAAATGTTACATTCAACTATAGCACATTCTTTTAGTCACCCCTTGTTGAAACATCACAGACTCCTATACTGCGGATGTGCAACGACCTTTTGAAAAGACTTAGTCGAAGTGCTGAGACCTCATTTTGTGGTCGCATTTTATTCTTCCTCAGTAGGTGCGCTATCCAAGCACCAATGTTGGTTTGGTTTCCTTTAACGCTTGCAGCAACTTTTGAGCTTCAGGTATCTTCCTTTGAGCGAAAAGTCGGGCCTGAATTTGATGGGACATTTCAACACTCAGAATGTGACCAAGTTCGATACAGTGAGTGAATTTGTACTGTGCACCTACGAGCACCTTCCACCCCTCGCGGACAATCTGTGGAATGAAACAAGAGACAACCTATTTGTAGTCAGAAACAGATCCGGTTGATCTTATTAACGCCTCTGATGAAGAAATGGAAACCGGAGAGATCAAGGAGACTAAGTATGTTTTTCAACTTTTGGGTTGGCAGCAAAGTTCTACCATACTTTCGAACTCAACTCTGTACCATCAGCACACTAAAGCGCTCCCTCAAACTCCTTTTTTCTACCACCCTGACGTGAGAATGGGAGCTAGGGAAGCCAAAACAAAGGAGGTGCATCACGACAGTGTCCTCAATAGTCGAACAATCTTCCGCTAATGTTTTGAAGCGGGGAGCCTCTAGTTTTGAAGATGAGGTGTGGTCTAAATGTTCATACGAACTCAGCTTAAGGGAGCTGGAGCTTGTGGAAATGCTGGGGTGAAAAAGCTGCCGTCACGTTCCAGCCTCTACAGAAAGCACCTACTGAGCTTGAACCGACCCTTAAAGCAGAGGGGAGAATTTGTCCTCTCAGTGTGCGTTCAATATGTAGTGCAGCCCACACCCTTTAAAAAAGGTCTACTCGAAGCTCATGCAGTAGAGCTGGTTGGCTTTCCTTCCCACCGGTGAAGCTCACACGTTGCTCTTTTTGACTGATACTTCTTTTCCGTACTTACCATATCAGGACGAGAAAAGCTTCACGACCAGACCAAGTCAAACGAGATGAAGACCAACTTCGTGTCGCATGGGCCTCCATTGTGTGAGGATGGCATCCACTAGGTGCTCAAAAGCTGGCTAGAACCCACAATATCAATGCTGCTGTGCTTCTCTACAGAAAGAAGGCCTAACTCAGAAAAAAATTGCAGAACTTTCCTGCCAATTTGATGTAAACGAACAGTAGAAATGGGGAAATTATAATGTTAACTATGGTTTCAGAGAAGTGAATATTCCTGTCGATCATGCGCTATACTCAATGTTTTGGCAAATGCAATCGTTCTTCTCCAATCCAACTATTTGCTTCGATAAACAGCAGTGGATGACATTCCAAAAGGTTGTGTCATGAATGAGCATGTTCCTCGAGCAGGAACCTTTGCTTATTTGACTCAGTTTCAGAATTCTACTGATGTATTAGGCGTGTTTTCAAGTTATAAGTTGGAAAAATCTGGAGATGATGACGAAGACAATGGAAAACGGCATGCTTCGGTGAGTTATGAATGGTTTTGCTGTATCTGAGGTCTTGATAAAGGAACTTACGCCTCAATTACGAAAGATGCCTGTTTGCAGGATGCGGAAACTGCTCGGAAGTTAATTGATGAGTCGGATACGTACTTTGCAAAGTACCTAACTAGTCCAAAGGTGTGCTATGGCTATAGTGACTGTTTATCACATTTATCACTGGCTTGCAGCTTCTTCAACTACAACTGAATGATTCGCAATTTCGACGTTACTTCCTGATCCAATTCATTATACTTTGTCAGTATTTGACGAGTAATCGAGCCAAACAGTGGGTTTTATGGCAACTTACACCACTACTTTTGTTAGTAGCAATAACTCAGTCGCTTTTCCCTTGTGTTGTTCCATCTCCTGTGAATTGGTCAGCCACTGTGCGACAAGCTGGACGTTCACTATCAGTGGTGAATCATCGTCAGTTGTTTCAGTTTATAAAGCGGTATTGGTACAAATTGGGCTATCGGTAGTGCCAATTGTCGCAATTGTTGGTTGAGAAGATGGCTATCTGCGTGGCCTGCGGTTCCTTGATAGTTATGCTGCTGGGAAGCGCCCCAGTGACGTAGCTGTTTCCCTTTCGTCCCAACCCAGCATGTTCAAATGGCCTCTCCTAATGTTAGTTAGATGGGCACGACTTACCAGACGACGTATTCATTCCGCGTTGTGATTATAAACCTATGTCGCTCTTCGGGGAAGAAAAAGGAAAAAATTCACGGAGGACAGCCTAAGAACCTCCTTGCAGCTTCAGTGTACCAGTTTCCCGCTCGTTTCATGCCACTGAAGCGGCATCATCCCGCCTCTGGCTCCCTTAGTTTCCTCGCATCATCCAATGCATCCGAATTTGTTGGGCGGGACAACCAGGGAGGCGTCAGAACTGCTGCTTAAGAGTGCCACGGCGCCTTCGTTACCTACTGTGGAGCTGCGAAAATAGAATAGCCTTAGAGGCTGAAGGTCAGACTATCTGTAAAAGGAAGAACGCCTACGAATCTGCTGGGCGCGGCGATTGTCTCTAACTGCCAAATTCTCACTTTTATGTTGCTATGCCTGAGAAAAGCTAAGTTTTTTTTTTCACAGGAAGGTTACGACTCTTACTGAAGAACAAACTAAGTTTGTCAATGAGAGCCAAGAGAAGTGTTACCGCCTTCTTCGTGAAACCCATCCAAAAGGAGCTCATTTTGCGGAAAGTGTCAAGGTTGTATTGAATTGTTTTGCATCGTTTCTGACGTGAAGTTCATAACTTTATCTCAGCACATTCTTCAACGAGAACTTGAATGGGCAAGGTGGAAGAGCGAGTCATGCCCAAACATGGCAGACCTCGCGGACAAACAGCAAATGCAACCCTATAAAAAGTGCGTTTTCATTCTGTTGCAGATTTGGCTTTGTAATTTTTTCATAGTTGTTTTGCATTGCACAGAATATTCGGGAATCGTATTAGCAGATTTCGATTTATTGTGCAACAACGTTGTAATGTTGACAG